GTCCCCATACTATTTATTCAAAAGACCGTTCTTTCTTCTTTAAATTGTCTTGTCATATTTGTTGGAAATCAGTTGACTGTAAATAGAATTTCTGGACTGTAAATGAAATTCCTGGGTTAATTTCTGCACTCTGAGTTTTACTTCATTGACCTATAAAATGTTTATCCTCAATGGTGGTTCAACCCTTTCTTCTTTACTGGATTTTGTACTATGTTTTGACGTCAGGGAAGGTAAATTCTCCAACTTTATTTTTTTCTCAGAATTGCTTGACAATTCTGGGTTCTCCAACATGGATTTTTGGTAGGGGTTTTGTTGAATTTGATCAATTTGGGAGGTATTGCCATCTTAAAAAATTAAGTCTAGGGGTCACAGATACAGGAAAACAGGTAAGGCACTTGCCTTGCTTGTGGCTGACATGGGTTCCATCTCCCACACTACATATGATGCCCTAGGCACAGCCACAGATTAACACACCCCCCCTCCCCGCCCCCGCAGATAGTTTTCAGTCTGTGCACGAACATGGGATTTTAAAAGTTCATTTAAAAAAATTTTTAGTTTCAATAGTGTTTTGAAATTTTCAGTCTTGCAAATATTGCACATCTTTTGTTAAACTTACACCTCAGTATTCTCTTACTTTTGGTGTTACTGTAAATTTAGTTGTTTTCTTCTCCTTCCTGTAGTTTGTTTTTGCTGTGGTGGGGGCTCAAACCCACAGCCTCACACATGTAAAACATGTACTCTATCACTGAGCTTCATCTCTAGTCCCACTGTGGGTTTTAATTTTTATTCATTTCAACACACTTAATTTTTTTCTTGCTTTGTTGACATTTTGTTTTAAAATTTTATTTAGGCACCATGATACAGAATACTGTTAGTGATAGGCTTTCATGCATAACTCAGTCCATCACCAGTTCCTGCCCAGAGTTCACTTCCCTCTCCCATTGTCTGTCTTTTCTTCACCCTGCCCCATTCTACTCCCCCCTCCCCTTGTTCAAACTACATATGTGATTGCCTACCTTGCATACTGATGTTATACTTCAATCTCTGCCACCACATATGGTCCCCCAGTATGGCTAGGAGTAGCCCTTGAGCACAGAGACAGGAATATCCCGAGTGCCAAATTTGGCCCAAGAACCAAAACACATGCCTGTATAGTTCACTTGACTTCCTTTTCATTTTATTGTTTAGTCCATTCATTTGTAATGTCATCATTTACTTATGCTATTATTTCTCATCTCCTTATTGTTTTATTCCTTTATTGCCTTATTTTGTGTACTTGGGTTTTGTAGACCTGTCCTCCCATTGTTCATCGATTTGCTCGAGTGGGCCTAGTAATGTCTCCATTTTGAGACTTGTTATTACTGTGTTTGGCATATTGAATACGTCATGGGGAGCTTGCCAGGCTTTGCCGTGTGGGCGAGATACTCTAGGTAGCTTGCTGGGCTCTCTAAGAGGGGTGGAGGAATAGAACTTGGGTCGGCCATGTTGGCTACATGCAAGGCAAACACCCTACCCGCTGCGCTATTGTTCCAGCCCTTTGTAGACCCAATCACACAAAATATATATTTTGGGTATTTTCTGGGGTGACAGTTTGTGTCTTTATTTTTCAAATTTGCTATTTTTTTTTATAAAAGGGTCGTAGAGTGAGGGACCCAGAGATTTGATGGTGCCTGAAGGCCACCAAGACCACTTGATTATGGTGCTTATGGTCGGGGAGGTGGGGGAGGGTTCATACTTTTGGCTATTTTGCACCACAGACACATCACTCCTGCACTCAGAGGGTGCCAGGGATCAGACTCAAGTCTTGGGTCAGCCAGGCAGGCCCTGAATCTATGAGCTACATTTCTGGACCCCCACGCCCTCTCATTGTTGAATATGGAATTTGTTTGAGCATTACTGTTGTTGAGTCATTTGATGATCTGCATTGGCTTGATTGAACTCAGTGTACACACTCCCTTTCTAATCATGTGTACCTCTAATGCCCTTGTTCAGATATTCCTGCCCCCTCCCCATTTCTTTCCTCTGCTAGCCCCTCTAAGTATAGGCATGATTTACGCTTTGGAGTGGAACTATTTACTCAGTGGTTGAGCGGAAGTTGCCTGAGCTGGTAGATACCCACCTTTTATGGTTGCACATGGCTTGGAAGCTGTCCTCACATTTTTTTTTTTTTGTCCATTCCACCAGGCACTAATTAGTACTTGGGAGGTTGCTCCCGGGTAATCCCTAAGCTGATGCGATCTCGGCCTGCATGCATTCTTCTAGACTACCATGGATGCCCGTACCGTCTCACGCTGGATGCTGGCCTGGTGTTTGGCCCCTAGGGCCATGGAGCTTTCTACCCTGGTCTCAAGTCTACCCTACCACCCATCCTCATTGTTCCTTGTCAGATACCTCCCAGGTGGGTTCGCATCCCGGAGAGCTTTTCTTGCTCTCTCTGGTTCTCTCTATTCGCCTCCCTCCTGCTCAGCCATTTCACTAGTTTCAGAGCTTCGGGCCTTCCCTTCATTATCTTTCAGAACGATTTCTATGGTTTCTGTAACACGCTGTAGCATAAGGATTGTCTGCTCCTTCTTCCAAAGAAAGCAGTTCCCCTCCCCAAGAATGTGTGGTTCTGTATCCATGTGGGCTGCCTTTCCCCTTGGGGGAAGACCCCTGTAGTATTGATCCTGGAGTTCCAGGACATCTTTGCCAGATGACATCCTGCTTGTTGGGCAGGCGTGGGTGGGAATGGTGGAGACAGCCCTGGGTCTTCTGGACCTACTCCTGGAAGGAATCCCGTGGATGGGAGGAAGCAAAGGAACTGCTTTCAGTGTTACTGTTCAGAATGGAGCTTCTGCCCGTGGGTGTTGAAGCCGATGAGTCTCTCTCACGGCTGACTGGGCTTGGAGAGAGGGGGAGTCCCTCTCTTCTTGGCTGCACATGCCAGAGGTAGAACTTCTGTGACCCAGCCAGTTAGTGGGGGTTGGGGTTGGTCATGCTGTAGATCCTGATGCAAATGCTGGAGGTGCTCGCCTGTACTGAAATCTACTCCATTTGAAAAAAAAAAAAGTGTTTCTGTAGTTGCGTGGTATCCTTAGGGTAATTTCCAGACACACAGGCTGCATTGCTTTGGTGGGTGCCAGGGATCAAACAGGGTCAGTAGCACGCAAGGCAAGTGCCTGACCCCCAAACTAACAAATTCCAGCCTTGTTTTCAGGTTTTCTTTAGGCACCATGATTCACAAGACTGTTAACAAAGTTTCAAGTGTACTTTTATTTTAAAAATAACACTCTTCTGCTAATTGAAATGTGGTCATCTTGGAAAGAGGAACCACAGAGTTCCTTATTCAGGTTTTCTCCTGGTTTGACACTTTTAATGCTAGACTTGGGATTTTCTCCACATAAGAGATAAGAAAATTTTCATTACCATAGATGATATCTGCAAGGGATTCTGGTCATTGTTGTTTTGGTTTGGGGACCACACCCAATGGGGTACATTGGCTAGTCCCAGCTTAGTGCTCAGTGACCCTTGGCAGTGCTAGGGGACTTTGTGGTGCTGGGCATTCAACTGGAGGCCTTTTGCATGCTAACCACACATGCCCAGTCACTGAACCATCTCTCTTCTCCTCTGGTTTCCTTTACCCACCCCAGCCCCTGCAGTTCATCATATTCTGCTTATTGTAATAAACATGTCAAAAAACTTTCAACTAATCTAGAAGGTGACATTATTTTCTTACCATAGATCAGAATTTGGACTTTAAACTCTGTTTTCATATAGCCTCTTGAATTCGATGAACCAGACTATTTCCAGGTTCCACCAAAAGATCTTTTTGGAATTGATAGCCTGATAGATAGGCTTAGCCAGCCATACTCACTGCACTTGAAAACTGCAACGCGCACTGCTGCTTTGTACTAGATTTTTTGTTTGTTTTCAGTTTGTTTATTTTTGCCTTCACAGCCTGGTATGCAAGAAGAATCATCTACTGGTTCAGAGAGAAACAATGAGTGCCGTTGTGGCTGAATTAGTTCATTCAGCTAATGTTTTTTAAGCACCTAGTCCCTGACTGACCAACTTGCATGCATTCCTTTTATCACCTGTCACTGTATTCTAACTTAGAGCCGTTATTAACAGTTACCTATTTTAAAGTTACTCATTGAAACTTCACTTACTCTTGGAGCCTATTTGTACAGAGTAGGCATTCTTTTGATGAGAAACTCCTGGTAGAAAGCTCTTAAGATTCAGCCTTAGGAAATGGATCTTTGGAAAGAGAGCCATAGTGTCTGTTAAGCGAAATAGTTAGACTAGGCTTCAGCAATAGAGGAGAGGCTGGAGGACTTGGGGTATTTTCCAAATCTTCCTTGACGTGCTAACTCTGATTCCAGGTGGAGTAATTGAATTTTCTTGGCTTTGGTTGTTCCCTAACTTTAATTCAAGAATAATGGTCTCACTCACACATTGGGTGGTGGAGGGTGGAAAAGGTGTAAGTTGACCAATAATTTCCTTCTTTTTGAAGTTCTCTAGGATTGTTTGCTTGGATGGGGAGACCTGTCTAGGTACTGTCCTATCTAAACTAGGGCCACGTAGAAGATGAGTCTTCCTAGGCTTCAACCCAAAGCTCACCTGTGACAGGAAGTTGTTAGAACATTTCCTGTGAACCTGTTTCCACAAGTAGACTTGCTCTCAGGTGCAGTGTGATGTCAGAAACTGTGTGGCAGTCTTAGCGCATTCTGCACTAAAGAGTACATTTCTGTTTCCCTTCCCTCTTCTAACACAAGTGAAAGTACTCCTAGGCCAAGTGTTTCCTTAACTCTTCACTTGCATTTCGTACTTGCAAGCTCCATTTTCAGAAGGATGGAGCTCTGCTTACAAGCTTTCTCTCTTTGCACAACTACCCTGGACCATTGATTGGAAGTAGAACTAGAATTCTTTGCCTTTAATGTGTGTTGAACTGTGTAAGGTAAAAACCACGGTTCCAAATCAGAAGCTCTTGATCCTAGGGTATTCTGTTTTTCATTTCCTAGCAGCCAGCCAACTTTCAAACATGAAGGAAAAATCCAGAAAATAATCACAAAGCGTCCCTTGGAGAGCGTTTCCAAACATGAGTGAAAAATAACGCGCCCCTGCACTCATCTCAGGTACTGTATTTGGCACATCCCTGCATTGCCTCCTCCTTCCCAACCATCACCTTTTCATCTCCATTTGGGGACGAGGAAACTCACTTAGGCAGGGCTTGGGAACCTCCCCAGTTGGACAGCTTCTAGAGATGAATTGGGCATTTTATTTTATGTAACTCAAAAATTTCATTTTCTCTCCGTTTACAATATTCTGGAATTTCAGGGATTCTGCTTCTTTCCTCTCTGTGTGTGGAGTTGTCTCCATTCCTACCACCAAAGATGCCATTTCCCCCACCCTCCTGCCCAAAAGGTACCCCTCATCTCATCCCTTCCTTCTCCCACACTTCCCTCATATCACCTCCATCCCTTTTACTGGGTCTCGGAGTCAGTATTGCTTCTTCTTACCAATTCATTTGCCTGAGCAATTGTCTTTCATTTCCTTACTTCCCTTTGCATAATCACTGCGAGTCCCAACCATTTTTTTCATCTTTTTTTTTTTATCACAATTTCATCTTTTTAATGGCTAAGTAGTGTTCTGTTGAATACACCACATCTTTGGCAAGTCTCCTTGAGCAGGGTGGGTCTTTAGGTTGATTCTGTTTTGACTATTGTGAATAATGGACATTGGACCTTTAATAAGTGTTTTCTGACCTTTTGGATAAACGCCTAGGAGTGGCATTGTATCATCCAGCATTTCCATTTTCTTCTTTTTTCTTTTTTTTTTTAAACCACTCTCCATATTATTTGCCACAGTGGCGCCACCAAATCTCCATTTCCACCAGTTGTGTACCCAGGATTCCGTTGTCTCTACACTCTTGCCAACACTTGTTGTTTCTAGTCTCTGTGATATTGGCCATCCTCGTGGGTATGATATGATATCTCATTTAGTTTTGATTTCCATTTTCCTATTTTTTTTATTGTTACTGATTTTGGCATATCGAATATGCCACGGATAGCTTTCCAGGCTCTGCTGTGCCAGCGGGATATTCTCAGTAGCTTGCCAGGCTCTCCGAGAGAGATAGAGGCTTTTAGGGCAGCCTCTAATCGCCCTTGCAGGTGTTCCCATGGTTCAAACCATATTTGAACCCCATCAGATATGGTGCAGAAATCTTGGAAGATGGGTATTAAGTGTCTTATGATGTGTTTTTTTTTTTTAATTGACAGGCCACGCTCTGCGATACTTAAGAGATCACTGTGGTGTGGTGCTTGGGGGTGGTACCCCATGTGATATTGGGGATCCAGCTTGTACATGCAGAGCATGTGTCTCTAATCCAGCTCCATGCCCTTTATTTCCCCAACAAGTGATGTTGGACCTTTTTATCAAGTGTCTCCAGGTCATCCATCTGACTTTAGGGAAATGCCTACTCATCTCACTGTCCATTTTTTGACAGGGCTACTTGGTTTTGGTTGTAGAGATATATTTTTATTATTAAACACTTTCTCAGATATATGGTGTGTCGATATCTTCTCCTAATTGCCAGGCTGTCTTTTTTGTTTGTTTGTTTGTTTTTGTAGAGTTTCTTTTCTGTGTAAAAGATTTTTTGCTTGATATAGTCTACTTATTTACTCACGCTTTTGGTCTCTCTTGCCAACAGAGTTGAATTTCCAAATACTTCTCTGATGTCGAGGTCCTGGAGTAGATAACCTGAGTTTCGTTTTGTTTTCAAGACTTTAATCTATTTTGAGTTCATTTTGTATAGGGTGTTAAGTAGTGACCATTTATTTATTTATTTATTTATTTATTTTTTTGCTTTTTGGGTCACACCTGGCGATGCCCAGGGGTTACTCCTAGCTCTACACTCAGGAGTTACTCCTGGCGGTGCTCAGGGGACCATATGAGATGCTGGGAATTGAACCCAGGTGGGCCGCGTGCAAAGCAAACGCCCTACCCACTGTGCTATCTCTCCAGCCCCCGTTTCATTCTTTTGCATGATTGATCAGTCTTCCTAACTCCATTTATTGAAGACCCGCTCCTCCCACCCCCCACTATATGGAATTGGTTTCCTCATTATGGAATTGGTTGTTTACATACGTATAGGCCATCTATATATGTATTGTTTCTGGATCTCTGTTTTATTCTGTGTGTCTGATTTTGTAAAGGAGGATAGACACCCTTGTATCCTGTGGGAGGCTGGAGAGAGAGAGAGAGGGAGAGAGAGAGAGAGAGAGAAAATAAGGGTTAAGGCATGTACCTTGCATACGTTCAACCCTAGTTCAATCCTCACTGCACGTGATTCCCCGAGCAGCACCACCAGAAGTGATCCCTGAGCCCAAAGCCAGGAGTAATCCCGGCGCACCATTAGATGTGGGCCTGGGACCAACCAAACAAGTAAAGCAGTGTTGGTGCATATGCACACGTTAGGCACCAGGCAGAGAGTATCCAGGGCCTCACACAGACAGCTCCTGTGTTCTACCACAGAGCCACGGCCCTGGCTGCCAATGTGGAAATTTTAAATCATGACTGTAAAAAATGAGTATTTCCAGATTACCTAAATAGTGCACATTCTTTGTAAGACAAGTTTTTAACCAATTGCCAGTAACCATGTATGTTTATGCATGTTAATATGAATAAATACACACACAAGTCTGAAGACACAGTTGATTAACTGTGTAGAGGGAGGAAGGTGAGAAAGTATCAGGAATGGTAGAGATTAAGAAATATTTCAGCCTCATCCTGAATAGTTTGAATTTTGGCAAGGAGGATTTTCGAAGAGTAGTTGTGTCCACTGAAATGAATCGTCAAAAAATCCTTCAAGAATGGGAACAGAAAGCAACATCCCAGATAAAGCTTAATCTTCCTTAGTTAAACTCTAGTAAGGCCCTTACCACATTTGTTCTCTACCCCAGACTGTTTAATTGTCTCAAAGCTAATGTGCAGTTAACTACAATACAGTTGAAATGCTGAAGCCAGAGGCTGGAGCAATAGCACAGCGGGTAAGGTGTTTGCCTTGCATGCGGGCCAACCCGTGTTCGGGTTCGATTCCCAGCATCCCATGTGGTTCCCCGAACACTGCCAGCAGTAATTCCTGAGTGCAGAGCCAGGAGTAACTCCTTTGCATCATTGGGTGTGACCCAAAAAGTAACATTTAAAAAATGCTGAAGCCATCGATGGAGAATTCCTCAGATGTAGCATAGTGTTGGCAAGGGGCGCAGGCACAGACTCTGGGTACAGCTGCCCGTTCTGGCATGCCTCTGAGCCCTAGTCCCTCATTTACAGGTCTCGGGTAAGAGTTGTTCTTATGGGCTCAGTGTGAGACCTAAAGGAGTTACTGTTTGTCAAGCACTTAGAGTGGTGTGGGCACACCACAGAATGAGAGCCATGGACGCATGGGACTTGATATTTTCACACTCATTTGAAAACTGCTAAATTCTTAGATCTCTGTCCAGGAGTTTTCTTTCTTTCTTTTTTTTTTCTTTTTGGGTCACACCCCGTGATGCACAGGGTCCCTCTTTGCTCTGCACTCAGGAATTACTCCTGGCAGTGCTTGGGGACCCTATGGTATACTGGAAATCGAACCTTGGTCGGCTGTGTGCAAGGCAAATGCCTCTCCGCTGTGCTATCGCTCCAGCCCCTGTGTAGGAGTTTTGCACGAACATAGAGATATACCGAGGTGCCATACATGGATTCATGTGGCATGCACAGATACTTACAGATGCTTATATTAATTTCATTCTGTATTATTTATATTTGGGGGGCCACAGTTGAGGGTGCATAGGGCTTACTCTTGACTCTGTGCTCAGGGGTCACTCCTGGTGATGGTGCTTGGGTAACCATAGGTGGTGTCTGGGATCAAACCCTTGCCTCCTTGTTCCACTGAATCATCTCTTCAGCTCAGAATGCTATTTTTAAAGTCAAATAGTATTACTTAGTCAGCTGTGGTTTGCAACACCATGAAATCCTTATGTTTATGGAAAATTCCTGGACAGAGATCAAAGAGTTCAGCAGTTTGTATAACCACAGCTTTATAAACGTAGCTTTATACCTTTTCATGAGAGTAAGAATAACTCCATCTGCCATCAGACTCCCAGCAGTATCCTCACCAAATGATACCTCTGTTCACCTTCTGCTCACTGTTTTTACCTTCCTCCTCTTTCCTCTTTTCCCCTACTATCTACTATTTTTTGCACACTCTAAGAGTTGTTTCATTGCATTCTATCATTTCACTTGTACATGTGCGCGCACGTGTGTGTATTCATTTCCCATTTGAATGAAGCCATTTATGAATTTTGTTTCATTTATTTACTGACTCAGCATAATCACCTCAAGTTCCTTCCAGATTCTCTCTCTCTCTCTCTCTCTCTCTCTCTCTCTCTCTCTCTCTCTCTCTCTCTCACACACACACACACACACACACACACACAAGAAAAAGAGGTACGTAGTACTCAAATGACCTAATATATCATTCTTTCTTTATCAAGCCATCTACCTGTGAGCCATGTCTTAGCTGTTGTGAATAAGGCTGATATGAACATAGGGTATAGGTACAGGTGGCCTTTTACTTTGTTTTGCTTTGGGGACACACCTGGTGGTGCTCAGGGGTTACTCCTGGCTCTGTACTTGCACTCAGGGATCCCCCCATAGTGGGTTCAGGAGACTATATGGGATGGCTTGGGACAAACCTGGGTTGGCCATATGCAAGGCAAGCACCTTACCTGCTGTACTATCTCTCTGACTCCAGCCATTTTTATTTTGATGTGTTGGTGCTCTAAGGCCACACCCAGTGGTGCCCAAGACTTGTGCTTAGGGATCACTCCTGGCAGTGTTTGGTATATCATGTGTAATACCGGGGAGCAAACCTAGATCACCCGCATGCAAGGCAAGTTCCTAACACACTGAACTCTCTCCCCAGCCCCAGAGTGCCATCTTAAAATAAATACTGGGAAAGATGATTTAAATAATGACAGTATTGTGTGTTTTTTAGGTTTTTATCCTTGTACTGCCCTACTTGATAGTACTTGGGCTATTCCCCATTCTGTGCTAGGGATCATTCCTGGTGGTACTCAGGGAACCATATGTGACACCTCTGGGATCAAATCAGGGTTGGCAACATGTAAATCATGTTGTGCTATCTCTCTGGCTCTGAAATACGGCTGTTGGTAAGAAAAATGACATGGAACAAGTACACTGGTTAAAGATGAAATTGAAAGAAGTTACGAGTCATCAGCTCTGAGGTAGCTCGAAGACATGAAGGCACCCCCAGATTAAAAAACTGAGACACTTCACAAATAAGGACAAATTTCTTTGAAAAAAAATAAAACTCCAGGGGGCTAGAGCAATAGCACAGTGGGTAGAGCGTTTGCCTTGCATGCAGCCAACCCAGGTTTGATTCCCAACATCCCATATGGTCCCCCAAGCACCTCCAGGTGTAATTCCTGAGTGCATGAGCCAGGAGTAACCCCTGTGCATCACTGGTTGTGACCCAAAAAGCAAAAAATAAAAAATAAAACTCCAACCCAGTGATACCACTTCTTGACATCTATCCTCCGAATGCAAAAACATTAATTTGAAATGGTATATGCACTCTGGTTTTCAGCACCACACTTAGCACAATAGTCAAGATATGGGAACAACCCAAACGCACAACTACAGGTGAATAGATTGGGAGTTGTGGCATATATACACAATAGAACATTATGCAGCTCTGCAAAAGAACAAAATCCATGCAGTTTGCAGCAACATTATATGCTGAGTGAAGTCAGAAAGAAGGTAATAGATACAGAATGATCTCTTTCATACATAGGACTTAAAGGACTTAAAGACATAATGCAAGATAGGAACAAAGTACCAGTTACAACATGATAGGAGAATTGACCAACACAGCTGAGTTGGGGGAATTGGGAAGGGAGTGGTGTTGGGATCTTTGGGAGAGAGAGGTGGGTACACTGGTGATGAGTGTGGTGTTGGAATTGTGTGCATGAGAAACCATCATTAATAGTATTGTTAAACCATAGAGTCTCAATCAATAAAAATATTTTAAAAGATTTAAAAAGCTCCCAGAACCAAAAGAGGATCTTCTACAGACCTTCTTCCCTCTGGACACAGCCCAGTGGCAGAGCCGGACAGGGCAGTTTGGGAAGAGCCCCGCTCTGTGACAGCCCAAGTGGTGCAGTTCTCTAGGAGATCCACCTGCATCCCCACCTCCTGCGTGCACTTTCTCTTCACCTTCACTTTCACCCCCTTCATACTTCTTTAAGAAAAAAAAAAAGTTCAGTTAAAAAAATGTCTTTTTAAGTATACTGTTTATTAAGAAAAGTCTTCCTCTCCCACTCTTTTGACATAGGAGATGTTTCACAGAGCAGAAGAATTTTTACCCAAAAGGACAGATAACGACATGGACGAGATGGACACGTCGGATACCCAATGGGGCTGGTTCTACCTGGCAGAGTGTGGGAAGTGGCACATGTTCCAGGTACCCCTCCCCTTCGCTCTAGCAGCTTTGCTTGGCCTCCTCTTGCCATGGCATGGAAGGTGTGTGAATGCAGAACCTCTCCAGAGCAGCGCAGCGTCCCTGGAAAGATCACAGAGGAAAGGAAAGCGAGGGATCCGCTAACCCTGGGCTTTCCTTCTCCCCTGTTTTCTCAGTAGTCTCTTTCTCAGAGCCCTTTGTGTGGATTGTCTGTGCAGAGGGCAAGTGTATCTCGTCCCGAGTTAATTCCCGTGCTCTGACTGGGTGGACAGAGAGACAGAGCAGAGCACGTGGTAGATGCCGTCTGTGTATCAGGCACTATGTTATGTGTGCTACCTGCTCTCTCCTTCATCCTTACAACCACTCTGATGCAGTCAACACTGTCTTACATGTAAAGTGAACCTTAGGAAAGTCAGCCTAGCGTTGGTCCTGGACACACACAGCTAAGTAATGAAAGCAAATGGTGATTAGAACTCATGCACCAAAGGGTGTGGGTTTTCTTGTGTGTTTTTATTTTTATTTACTTATTTTTCTTGTGTTTTTTTTAATTATGAGAATCTGTAAAAGATTTAATTTGAGCCACTTAGAATGTGTAATTACTGTAATGATTTTTTTTAAATGTGATAATTCAGGAAAATGGATTATAACATGGCATTGAGAGGTATTTTTTTCTTTCTTTTTTTCTTTTTCTGTTTTGGAGGGGTGCAGGAAACCCTTATGCCATTTTATCTTGCTGGCTTAGCGGTGATGTTCCCCAGGTGCTGGAACTAGACCAGACAATGAGTCGGTTTTTCGTGCCCATCATTCTGTCTTTATGACCCAGTATCACCTCTCAGGCCAGGTAAGCCATTAACATGAACAGTTGGTAAATGCATCTTTCTGGTTTGTCTTAAAGCCGGATACCAACATTCAGTGTTCAGTTAGCAGCGAAGATATCGAACAAAGCTTCAAAACAAATCCTTGTGGTTCCATTTGTTTTACTACTTCCAAATTCAGCTACAAGATAGACTTTGCAGGTATGTTTTATTCTCCGTAATAGTTCTGTGACTTAGTTTTGATATGGTAAAAAGCTCCAGTATTGAAGATCAGATTTATTTGATACATATATATTTTGGGTGGTGGGAAGTTCGGGACTAAGGCCAGCTGTGCTCAGGGGTCCCTCCTAACAGTGCTTGGTGGATCTTAATAGTTCCAGGGATCGAACTGGGGTCAGCCACATGCAAGGCAAGGGTCTTAACCCCTGTAGTAGTAGTTGTCTAGCCCATGGTTGATAATTTTACAAACAGTGAAGCATTCCTTTTTATTAAAAACACAACAAATACTTGTATAAGAGTTCAGAATTTAAGATCTTCTTGAGCAATATTACATTTTATACAAAAGTAGATTTACATGTTTATAGAATCCATATTAATGTACATTGAAATTGCCATATATTTCGACTTCCTGGAATTCTCTTCTCAGAAATATGTGATAGTTATTATAATTTTACGATTAGCCCATCAGTTTTTTTTGAGATAAGTAGGTATCTTTTTATTTTAATAATTGCCTAGATAAGTTAAGAGACAAAGATAAAGCCATAGGCAATGATAGTTTAAGACTCAGAGTCAAATTTAATGGTTCGATTCTTGGATAGAAAAGTATTTTCCTTCTGCCGTTTTCTGATTTCATTGTTTTTGTTTTCACAGATTAGCCCACTAATTTTGAAATCAGCAATCCCTACCCCCACTCCCTGTTTGAATTTTATCTATGATATTTCGGCATGTTTCCAGGTATTCTTTGAAAACCCTTTGGAGCCAGTCATTCCTAGGTCAGGCTGTCCACTTTAGCAGTTTGCTGCTTTAAGACAAACAAAAACTGGGTGGGTGGTGCTTTTGAGTTATTACACAACTCAGTCCTCTAGCTCTTTTTTCCCAGTTCATGTGAGTTGCATCGTTAGGGCAGAAGTCAGTGTGTTGGAGTTGGGTTGGGGGAACCTTAGGCCATTCTCTTATGTTAGTCATGGCCCAGAAATGGTTAAGGGTTCTACACAGAAAGGGGCTCATGAGCTCAAATGTTTAATGATTATTGTTGTGCCCAAGTGGGGGCTTCTTCTTCTTCTTTTTTTAAAATCTCATCAGGAGCTAAAACCGTCAGATCCTCATTTATGACTAACCATCATTTCTTCTTTTGCTGATGTTGGCAGCTAAATGGTTTATTTTATTTATTTATTTATTTATTGCTTTTTGGGTCTCACCTTGTGATGTACAGAGGTTACTCCTGGCTCATGCACTCAGGAATTACTCCTGGCAGTGCTTGGGGGACCATATGTGATGCTGGGAACTGAACCTGGGTCAGCCGCATGCAAGGCAAATGCCCTATTCGCTGTGCTATCGCTCCAACCTCTAGAAGGTTTCTTTTTTTTTTTTTTTAATTTTTATTAGTGAGACACCATGAGGTACAGTTGTAGAGTTACAAAGTTTTTGTGCTTGGGTTTCAATTATACAATGATCAAATACCCATCCCTCCACCAGTGCCCATTTCCCACCACCACGGATCCCAGTATCCCTCCCACCCCCCATCCCCCCTGCCTCTGTGGCAGGGCATTCCCTTTTGTTCTCTCTCTCCTATTGGGTGTTGTGGTTTGCAAAAGAGGCAATGAGTGGCAATCATGTTTGGTCTATAGTCTACTTCCAGCATGCTTCTCCCATCCTGGGAGGATCCTCCCAACACCCTTTATTTGGTGCTCCCTTCTCTATCTGAACTCCCTTTTCCCCTAGCATGTGTGGCTGGCCTCCAAGCCATGGAGTAAAATTCCAGGTACTAATGTCGGCCATTCTTGGGTGTTAGTCTCCTATTTTGTTACTTTTTGTTCCCCAGATGAATGCAATCTTTCTCTGTCTCCTAGATGGTTTCTTAAGGGACGAATCAGCTTGCTTTCTGAAGTGCCCTAAGCAGAAAGTACTGGGGACATATTTTAGTCTTATACTCATTTGCCCTTTAAGAAGCACTACCAAATACCATCATGTACACAGATGGTCAAGATGATACATATCAGTCTTCCTGTGGGGGATGAAGTTTGGTAGACAATTAAGTAACATGTGTCTGAATTAGTAGGGAATTTTCTTTCAGACAGTGTAGTTTATTGGAAAATATTTTTGGTTTGTTCTCTGCTTATTTTGTTTGTTTTTTTTTTGCATCACACCCTGCTATCCTCAGGGCATGTTCCTGGCTCTGTGCTCCAGGATCACTCCTGGTAGGTCTTGAGAAACCATTTGTGGTGCTGGTCATCAAACTGGGTTGACTACATGCAGGGCAGGCACCTTAATTCCTGTACTATCTCGGACCTTAGAAGATTTTTTGGGGGGCCAGGGAGTTGGAGAGATAGCTCTGAAAGCTCAAACACAGGCCTTTCATGCTCAAGGCCTTGAGTTCCATTCCTGCCACTGTATGGTCTTCCCCAGTTCCACTGGATATGACCTTGAAGGGCATCAGCATCACCCAGCCAAACCCAGCATTGAACCATCTGTTCCAGTTGGCCAGATATGGATGGGTGTGGTCCCTACAATTCCTCTGATAATTGCTGGGGAGACTCCATCCCTGAAGAAAATAACAAAAGATAAGAATCGCAGAACATAATAATAATCTAAGTCCCTCAGTCTTCTATTATTGAAGGTATTAGCATTGTATCCTGTTGTTCATCGATTGCCTCAAGCAGGCCCCAGTAACGTCTCCTTCATCCTAGCCCTGAGATTTTTTAAAAAGTGCCATATTCAAGGCTCTTTTAGGGTTAGGGGAATGAGACCCATCATTGTTACTTGAAGGGCATCAGCATCACCCATCCAAACCCAGCATTGAACCATCTGTTCCAGTTGGCCAGATATGACTAGGTGTAGTCCCTACAATTCCTCTGAGAATTGCTGGGGAGACTCCATCCCTGAAGAAAATATCAAAAGATAAGAATCGCAGAACATAATAATAATCTAAGTCCAAATAATTGGTATCTAAAGGTAAAGGTAAAGGTAAAGGCCCTCCCGTTGATCGTCGATTTGCTCGAGCGGGCCCAGTAACGTCTCCATTGGAGACTTTGTTGTTACTGTGTCTGGCATATCGAATACTCTCGGTAGCTTGCCGGGCTCTCCGAGAGGGGCGGAGGAATCAAACTCGGGTCGGCCATGTTGGCCGCTTGTAAGGCGAACGCCCTACCCGCTGTGCTATGTGTTTGGCATATTGGGTACGCCACGGAGAGTTTGCCAGACTCTGCCATGTGGGCAGGTTACATTCAGTAGCCTGCCAGTTTGTCCAAAGTAAGAATGAGATAATAAGATGTCGTGCAGCCACAAATGCAGCCACGCGCTTACAGGAGCTGGATTTTATAGTCTCTGTGTCTTGGCCATTTATGGGATTACATGGCGCCAGGGGGCCAGTTGGGGTGTGTTACCCCTGCCTACTGGAATATGGAGGATCTGGGTGGAGGATGCATTGCATATATTTCATTGGCAAAAATGGCACCAACCTGCTGCCAGCCAACTCTGTAGAAGTGGTGAAAAGTAGCTCCTGTGAGATGAGCTAAGAAGACAGTACCACGGGTTTCCCTTCATGTCCTGAAAGGTCTTGCTTCTTCCTGCACAGGGAAGCCAGTGGGAGCCAGTCTCTGAGAACAGAGACTGAATGTTCTTACGGGTCACATTTGCCTAGATCGATGGGCCCCTTTATTTTGGAATGAATGCCAGTCCGACAAGATAAGCTCACTAGACTCCCACATTAGGGCCTAGTACTTGGTGGCCAGGGAAATAGTACAGGACTTAAGGCACTTACCTTGCTTGTGGCCCATTTAGATTTGATCCTGGCACTGTCTGTAATCCCCTAAGCAATGTCAGGGGTCACTCCTGAGCAGAGAACCAGAAATAGCCCCTGATGATGGAGCACTCCCACCATCCCCCCCCCCAAAACAAAAGACTTTGTGGGAATGATCTGGTAACTATTACCACAAAGAAGGTAGCAGTGTAGCACTGTCCTCCCATTGTTCATCGATTTGCTCAAGCAGGCACCAGTAACATCTCACAACAAATTGTGAGACTTGTTGTTACTGTTTTTGGCATATCGAATACATCATGGAAAGCTTGCCAGGCTTTTGCTGTGTGGGCAAGATACTCTTAGTAGCTTGCCGGGCTCTCCAAGAGGGGCGGAGGAATGGAACATGGGCTGGCTGCGTGCAAGGCAAACGTCCTACCCACTGTGCTATTGCTCCAGCCCACCACAAAGAAGGAATGAGAAAAAAATACCTTTTGTATTAATTAGTCTTTTTATTACTATATAATTGCTAAAATATATATTAAGTTTAAATGGGTTTTCTACTTTTAAAAACAATTTAGATATGCCACTTCAAAAGAAGGCAAGAAATATGTAAAATTTTGAAATTCTGTGACTTGTACTCATTTTTATAACGGTAATGTACCTTTTTAACGATCACGACCATCCTGTTGTCGATTGCCTCGAGCAGGCCCCAGTAACGTCTCCTTCATCCTAGCCCTGAGATTTTTTAAAAAGTGTCATATTCAAGGCTCTTTCAGGCTTAGGAGGATGAGACCCATCATTGTTACTGGTATTTGGCATATTGGGTATGCCACGGAGAGTTTGCCAGACTCTGCCATGTGGACAGGTTACATTCGGTAGCCTGCCAGTTTGTCCAAAGTAAGAATGAGATAATAAGATGTTGTGCGGCCGCGAATGCAGCCGCGCGCTTCCGGGAGCTGGGTTTTATAGTCTCTGGATCTTGATCGTTGATGGGATTACACGGCATCAGGGGCCCAGTTGGTGGGTGTGACTCCTGCCTAGTGGAAGGTGGAGGATCTGGGTGGAGGATGCTCAGCCCCGGATCTGAGCAGGCTTGGAGATCTCAGCCCCGGGATCCGCATGCCTTTGTTCCTCTGCCGGTACCTTCATGCGTGCGGAGAGTGGTCTCAGCATGGTGGTGGTTGATTCTGGAGATCTTCAGCTGCCGGAGCTTTGCTCGGGGCAGGGAGGGAAACTCAACCCGCCCCCCTCCAAGGGGCCCTGGCGAGGACAGCCAGGCGCAGGGGCAGGAGACCTTTTTAAAAAAATAATTATTTGCAAAATTTTTGGAGTTGGGAGAATTCATTCTTTTCCCACTCTAGACTCCAGCCAGAAGGGCAGTGATTCCTTCTGGTCCTGGTATTCTTCATTTCCCTAAGTTTAAAACTTGTCTAATGTCCTGCCAGTCAAACCCATGTGTAATTCAAAAGAGACTGGACTCCACGTCCCACGCAGTGGAGATGAGCCTCTATCTGCAGGACAGTGAGACTGTGCTCCCCAGATAGCACAGCTGTGACTCAATAGATCGCTTTCTGGTCAAGTACCCTTAATATACTGTGCTCACTCGCAACTCCGAAAGCGCCCCAATCCTTTATCCGCATATATTGCGGCTACAAATCTTCATGACAGTTTATAGCACAGTGTGTTTCTCTGACTAATGACTTCTCTGATATCTTTGTCTTTGTCTACAGAGATGAAGCAAGTGAACCTCACCACGGGCAAGCAGCGCCTGATAAAAAGAGCTCCCTTTTCCATCAGTGCTTTCAGGTACCTGGCAGAGACAGATCCAGATTCTGGTTTGGGTGGGTTAGTGAATTGCCTCGGGATTTTTTTTTCCCTTCCCATTATTTTTTTAAACTTTGGTGATGCAATTTCCATGTTACTTTCTGCTAGGGTTTCCTTATTTGTTATCTTCATTTATTTAGCCATGCAATTTTTTTCCCTATTTCTTTATAATTGTTAGCATGGTAATTGTGAAATACCTTTTTGGTCTCTTTCTAAATCTTTTGACTAAACCTATGAGTACAAGTTTGACTTTGAGATATTCTCACAGAACTGTCCAGTTTTAAAGGCCAGTGAAGATAGAGATCTTCACTTAACTCCACAGATAATACCTAGAATTCATTTCATATCTGTTGTTTGAAGGGTGACCTAGGAAGATGGGGGTACTGTGGAACAGAAGCCCAGCTCCCTGTGCCCTGGGTTGTAAGTTTTCCTTTCTTGCCATCACCTACCATGTGAAAAGAGAGGAATTACACATCTGTTACTCATGGGAATGGACTCTAAGGTGAAGATCTTTGCATGTGTTTCCCATATTCCAGAAGAATCTCTCAAGCAAGGGACTGAATTTTGTTCCATTTGAAACATGTTCATAAATGAAATTAATTTTTTAAATATTGGCACATGAATTATGGGACGTATCCATATGCTCCTTCCAAAGATAATTTGAACAGGATTAAAGAAGAAAATGCTTTAAGGTCTGTCAGTTTGTTTCTTCAGACTTTTGGCTTATATTTTATTTTGTTATTTTATGAGGAGGAGGCATACTCAGCAGTGCCAGGGCTTGCTCCTGGTTCTGTGCTCAGGGATCATGCCTGGCAGTAGGTAGACCTCATGTGGTACCAGAGATATGAACTAGGGTTGGCTGCATGCCAGGCAAGTGCCTTAATCTCTTCAGTTAGTGTATATTTTAATATCATGATTTACAAGTTATTTAAATACTTTTAAAATATAAATACTACTAGAGAATACAGGGAATTATTACAAGTTCTTTGTAAACTTTGTATCCTCATTCTTTGGTCCAAAGGATGTAATAAAGGAACTACTTTTCCTCTAATAATCTCGAAGAAAAATGAGACATGATAATGGAAAATGTTATTGTTACTGTATGTTAATTTGGAGAGGAAAGCTTTGTTCCTTTACGGACTCTTAAAAACCATAGAACCAAGACAAGAGGGGGAGAGAATGGACCAAAATGAAGGATAATAAGCAAAATAATGAAAGAGGAAGAACGGTTAGGTAGCTTATAGGCCAGTAATGAAAGGGAGTTGAAATGTCATTCTTGCAGATATATACAAAACTGAAGATATCCAATGTGAATAGTGTAGTTTCCTAATGGCAAGAAGTTTATAATTAAGGCTATGCGCTACCAAAAGATTAATTTTTTAGTGGCAGAATACTGACACAGGTGTAGGATAGGTGCTGTAAATTGTATGTCTAAAACTCAACTGTGAATAACGGTATTTTAATAAAAATTTAAAAGAACATTTTTTAAACTGGGAAAGCTCTTGGCGCTCATTATCAAAGGTAGTACAGGAGGCTCTTCTAAGAATCTCTAAGTAGAAAACCAGTAACTTGTTAGAATGACGAACAAAGAATTGGAAAGGTTAATACAACTTCCCTTATAATCAGAGAATGCAGCTTATACCGGACTATTTTTTTTTTTAACTATCAGATTGACAAAGGTAAAGGCCCTCCCGTTGATCGTCGATTTGCTCGAGCGGGCCCAGTAACGTCTCCATTGGAGACTTTGTTGTTACTGTGTCTGGCATATCGAATACTCTCGGTAGCTTGCCGGGCTCTCCGAGAGGGGCGGAGGAATCAAACTCGGGTCGGCCATGTTGGCCGCGTGTAAGGCGAACGCCCTACCCGCTGTGCTATCGCTCCAGCGTTCGCCTTACAAGCGGCCAACATGGCCGACCCGAGTTCGATTCCTCCGCCCCTCTCGGAGAGCCCGGCAAGCTACCGAGAGTATTGGATATGCCAGACACAGTAACAACAAAGTCTCCAATGGAGACGTTACTGGGCCCGCTCGAGCAAATCGACGATCAACGGGAGGGCCTTTATCAGATTGACAAAAATTCACAAGTTTGCTAATACATTTTTTCTTGATGAGAATTCCTTATACCTCTGGTGGAAATGCCGGTGAACCCAACCTTCAGGAGGGTCTTCATTTGAGAACTTTCCTTAGGAATCACAAACATATTGTCTTTGGTCGAAAAATTATATTTCAGATCAGCCTGTGTGTAAAATGACGGTTAAACAGACTCGGTTTTTTTGCTGCAGGGGGCTGGAGCGATAGCACAGCGGGTAGGGCGTCTGCCTTGCACGCAGCCAACATGGCCGACCCGAGTTCGATTCCTCCACCCCTCTCGGAGAGCCCGGCAAGCTACCGAGAGTATTCGATATGCCAGACACAGTAACAACAAAGTCTCCAATGGAGACGTTACTGGGCCCGCTCGAGCAAATCGATGATCAACGGGAGGGCCTGAAAAGCTGCAAGAAGTTAAAGATAGGCTAAATAGCTGTAGGTACCTAGTATCTACAGCTGAAATAGATTTCATCTAGAAACTAGAATGCTCCCATTCATTCAACCAGAAGTTATTATCAACTATGTGCCAGATTATACTGTAGGTACTGAATGTAAGCACGCTCTGTATCTGCTAATATGGAAAGTTCTCTAGAAACATATTGAGTGGGGTGTGGGGGAACAGTCCAGCTGCAAGAGACATGTAAGAGACACCGTTCATGCATTTGGGGGCAGCAGGGTCTGGTTTATGGAAGTGTGAAGAAGTTCAACAATACTCAGGAAACCGAAGTCAGTGTGTAATGAGAGTTGGGGGAAGAGGCAGGACCAAGGGCTGAAGTGGGAGGGAACTATTGACTTATTTATACTTTAAGGGTTTTTTTTTTGTTTTGGTTTTTTTTTTTTTTTTTTTGCTTTTTGGGTCACACCCGGTGATGCCCAGGGGTTACTCCCAGCTCATGCACTCAGGAATTACTCCTGGTGGTGCTTGGGGGATAATATGGGATGCTGGGAACCCAGGTCAACTGCATGCAAGGCAAACACCCTACCCGCTGTGCTATCACTCCAGCCCCTACTTTTAGATTTTAGTCACTTAAATTGGGGGAGGGGTCATACCTGGGTCTGTGCTCAGGTCATACTCGGGGTGTATCCCATACACGTATGGGGCAGAACTGGAGTTAGGCTGTGTCCAGTACAAGAGCTTTAATCCCTGTACTGTGTCTCTGGCCCCTTTTGTTGTTGTTTTGTTGTTGTTATTGCTGTTTATTTGGGGGGTGGGGGTGTTGGGCCACACCCAGTAGTGATCAGGGATCACTTCGAGCTGTTCCAGAGATCCAGCCAGAATCTGTTGGAAAGCGCCTTAACCTCTGGACTAGCTCTCTAGACCTATCCTTTAAGATCTTGAATTACAGCGATTGGGTGATCATTTTAAAATTGAGATGAGTTTTTAAAAATAAGTCTATAAATGACTTAAAATTTATTTTCTAACAGTAATCTCCAGTCACCAGAGAGAAAGAGTGTTCTAACCTCTTGCCATTAAAGAATTTTTTTTTCTGTGTTCACATCCAGTGATTTATAAACATGGTAGTTTTAAAACATTTAACCATCTGACTATAGTAAGTGAACTAATGTGAACCATTTAGGATAGCGAGTCAGAGACAGATACTTCAGTTTGACTTAGTTGTTGAAAGACACTGAATATATGGAAAAGGGGTTTGGATTGGATTTAATAGAAAGCATAAATTTGTTTATAAAGTAAAAGAACCCAGGGGACTGGAGCGATAGCACAGTGACTAGGGCGTTTGCCTTGCACATGGCTGACCCGGGTTTGAATCCCAGCATCCCATATGGTCCTCTGAGCACCGCCAGGAGTAGTTCCTGAGTGCAGAGCCAGGAGTAACCCCTGAGCATCGCCGGGTGTGACCCAAAAAGAAAAAAAAAAAGGAAAAAAGAAACCTGCTAATTTAAATAAGACTTTTAAAAGAATCCTAGTTGGAGAGATTTATTTAAATCAACAGTTTAATTATATTCTTAAAAATTCTTTTTTTAAAAACCTAATATTGGGGCTGGAATGATAGCACAGTGGGTAGGGTATTTACCTTGCAAGCGGCTGACCTGAGTTCAATTCCCAGCATCTTATATGGTCCACCGAGCACCACCAGGAGTAATTCCTGTGTATATGAGCCAGGAGTAACCCCTGTGCATTGCCGGGTGTGATGCAAAAAAAAAGAAAAGAGAAAAAAAAAAACCTTAATATTACATTTTAACAAAAAATTTTAAATTAATGAACCATTGCTTATATTACTATGACTCTCAGGGGTACATCTTCACACACCCTTTGTTGGATATCTGATGTACCAACACCAGTCAGTAGGGGACCTATCATTCTGTGGTGGTTTCTTTTATTGTACACAGGATTTTTTGTTTGATGTAAGCCCAGTTGTTTTCCAGACAGTTCAGGAAAATCAAGGCCAAAGCAAATGTTTAAAATTCCAGTGTTATGTCAGGGTGGATGTTTCTATCAAAGTTATAAGTTTAGCACTAAAAAGACCTTTAGCCAGAATTTCAAAGGCAAGAAGCCAAGGGCTCCCTTCACTGGCTTGTTTCAATCAGTACGTGGTAGATAAGCATTGATGCAGAGAATAAGGTATTAACAGTAAGTCTCAGTGACTCCTAATGATACGCCTTGTCTTTTGCTGTTGACAGTTACATCTGTGAAAATGAGTCGATCCCCATGCCACCCCACTGGGAGAATGTGAATACTGACGTGCCCTACCAGGTGAGGAAACGAGAGACCAGCAGCTTTGTGGAGGGCAGTTGGAAAGGACCCTAATAAAACCATGCAAACTTCTTTTTCCAGCTTATTCCTTTGCACCATCAAACACATGAATATAATGAAGTGGCTAGTCTTTTTGGGAAAACAATGGATCGCAACAGAATTAAAAGAATTCAGAGAATTCAAAACCTAGACTTGTGGGAGTTCTTTTGCAGGTGAGATAGTTTCTAATCTGAACCCTCCCTGGGCCGCCAAGACTTTTATAGTCTTAGAGTCAAGCACAAATGTTTGAATTATGTTAACTCTTCCTCCGGGCCTCGGACCCAGCCGGGTTAAAGTGGTACTGTATCCTTGCCATATTTTTTGCCTGGTCTCAGCTCGAGCATCCCAGAGAGTAAACAGAGCTGCTCTTTAAGGAAGTGCCTGGCCGACCTTCTAGCATCATCATAATGTGATGTTGGAGGACAGACTCCAACACTTTTACACTCCAAGTTTTCATCTTGATGGAAATCTCTGTCACAAGGGAATCTGGAAAACCTGTTCTGTTTTGTAACTAATGCCCAATTTTGTTGGCCAAAGCTTTTCCATTCAAGTAGTACTCTCTGGAATCACTGATTTATTTCACCCCCCCCCCCAAAAAAAAAGATCGCACTAATTGTGTCTCTCATAATTCACTTGTTTTAAAACTTAACCTCAAATGAACTGTTTTGCCCACAATTTATATTGTAGATTTAAAATCTCAACTCATAACGAGGTTTGTTTGGAAACGAGCCATTAGATCTCTTGACCTCAACCAAAAAAATCAGACCCTTACCAAAAAGTTAATGTATTGCCCACATTAACTTGTTGTACAGTCTGTTCTTTTGCTAACAATTGTTACTTAAAAAGCGTGGGTTTCTTGGCTCAGAGCCATAGTATAGCAGGTAGGTTTCTTGCCTTTCATATGGCCGACCTGAGTTCAGTCCCTGGCATCCCATATGCCACACCCCACCAGGAGTGATCCCTGAGTGCAGATCCAGGGAGATGACTCAAAGGACTGAAGCATATGCTTTGCATGTGGGAACTCAAGGTTTGATCCCTGGTACCAGATGGTTCCTCAGACACCACCGGTTGTCCCCCCAAGAAGAGAGGATTTGTGAAATATTTTCACTCAATTTGTATATGAAATTTTGTTTCTTTTTTTATATAAGTATAAGGATACTTAGTATTTAGGAAAATTTAGCACAGAGGTAGGGCGTTCGCCTTACAAGCGGCCAACATGGCCGATCCGAGTTCGATTCCTCCGCCCCTCTCGGAGAGCCCGGCAAGCTACCGAGAGTATTCGATATGCCAGACACAGTAACAACAAAGTCTCCAATGGAGACGTTACTGGGCCCGCTCGAGCAAATCAACGATCAACGGGAGAGCCTTTACCTTTACCTTTACCTTTAAAGAAATATGGTCTGATAAATACACATGCATTCTTCATTCTGAATTAAAACTAATTGACATTCTGAATCATTCTGATTTAACACTTATCAGGTTTACTACATAAGCTCCATTTTTATTTTTTGCATAATTGTTGTTACCGAAATATTTTAAGATAAATACCAGAGCTTTAATTTATTTCATTCTTGTGCATTTGGAAATTAGACCGATTTTGTTTGGTGTTTCATTTCATGGAATTCTGTTGTACTTCTAAAAGTCGGGATAGTGTGGACTAAGTTCATTGAAGGTTTCGTTCTCCTAATACCCGTTTGTCAACAAAAGGATTTTTGATTTGTATTCTTTACAGTCTTGAGACTGGGGACCAGGCCAATTTTTATTCATGACAATAATTTGGGTTTAAATGAATTTAGAAGATTTCATTCTGTTCTTGATCAGATGATTCCATTGCAGAGGAAGTTTCCTCTTTGATTTTATTCTCTCTGTGAAATGTAATTTCTCCCAAATGTTCAGATGAAAACGTGGGTCTTTTGTCCCAATCATGCCTCTACAAAGGAGTTCAGACCAGCCTACTTTATTTTAGTGCTTGTTAAATACTAGTTGAGTATACCAGCAGACCCCCAACTCCACCCCAACGTCTGGTACATAGAATCTCTCTGGAAACAGTTTGCTTTGACTCTGGCTTTGCTCTTGTAACACCATCCTGTAGAGATCTGTGAGGATAAATGAGCTTGCCACCTGCTCTCAGGAGAAAGTGCTTAGTTTCACTGTAAAGAAGCCTGTCATTTCCATGTCTCCCTAGAGGACAGAAATAACTGAGTCACTCTGGTTGCATCTAACCTGTGACTCACTCTGACAGTGGCGAGACCTGCCTGAGTCTGTCAGGCTCCCTGAGCCTGCTAACCAGACTTTATGGTGTCCCCGCATGCACGCACACTTGAGTCTCTACTTGATGACAGGCATTGTTCTTGGAACTTGGGATAGAACCACAGCTTAGACAAGGAGTCAATGGGTCACGCCAGAAAGTGTCACAGTGGACATCGAGCAGTGTGGAAACAAGGGGAGGTACCTGTTTACTCCGACACAGCGGGCTGTGCGTTTCAGGGAGCTTACCCCAAAGAGGCTTTCTTTGAGCTCGACCTAGGCAAGAGAGGAGAAATCATTTTAGGCACTGAGAAAACTACGGGCCCACATTTGGATAGGAAGGGGAGTAACAGGCATTAAGATCGTATTTTAGTAGTATAGAAAGTTACAAGGAATGGCAAGAGAAGAGGCTAGAAGGATAGTAAGGGGTGGGGCAGGCTGGACACGTCCATATCCCAGCCCAAATTAAACAGGCACTGAGAAACTTGGTTAAGAGGCTCATGATTCTAAGCAAGACTCATTGGCTGGCCTGAACCAAAGTATATATTCAAACATACATCGTTTTAGTTGGAAATGATTGACAAATAACACTACATTAACTTCAAATGTCCAATATGATTTTTTTTGTGCTTACCATGAAATGCTCACCACCGTAAGTCTAGTTCACATAAATTATCATACAGCATTGCATTCTCTTTTCCTGTGATGTAGTACAGAACTATTAACTCTTCTCTCCATGTCCTATATTCCTCCTCTTGGACCTATATCTTTTGTCATCCAGAGTTGGTACCTTTGACTAGATTTCACCCTTTCCCCACCCCTAGCAACTTCCATTGTGTTCAAAGAGGTAAGTTTTGAGATTTAAAGGATGCAGAATGATGCAGGTTTGAAGGATGCAGAATGATGCAGGTTTGAAGGATGCAGAATGATGCTGGTTGGTGCTTGACTTAAGGCGGATGGTGGGATGGAGAAGGGAGATGGAAAGTATCACTCTGAAATTTCTGGCATGTTTGTTCTCTTTGACTGAGGACTCACAGGCAGGGGCAGGTGCTAGTCTGTGTCTTTAGGGAGGACGAGAAGGGAGAGGTCCTGGATTCATGGGCTGGAAGTTCAGGAGACTAGTGTGGACTGAAGATGCTGATTTGGGCATGGTTAGAAACTGGGGAGCAACGGGGGCTCTCAAATTTGATAGGGTGACCAGGGAGTATATATAGGTTGAAAGAGGGCTGTAAGGGCTGGACAGAGGGAGAGGAAATGCAAGGAGGAGACCAGAAAGTACCCATTGAACTGTGATCTCACAGAAGTCGAAGGAGGAAAGTGGCTCATACAAAGAGCTGTCATCCTTTGGGTAACATGAAAAAGAGTGCCGGGAAGATAAATCCTGAAAAAAAGTCTTTTGAGTTTTGCAACCAAACTAAGGTGTCCTTGAGGAGAGTGATGGTTTTGGCATGGTAGCGTCTCTGCTACAAATGTTGATGACCCTTCCAAGGAACTCAGCATTGAAATGGCTGAGGGGTGTGAGCCGGGTGGTGTGGAGTAGGGGCAGGGTGTTTTGGTTTGGTTTTAAACTTTTTAAAGTAGGAGAAACCTGAGCCTTCTTAAATTATAATAGGAAAGAACCTCTAGAAGAAGGAATGGTTGAAGGGCGAGAGGAAGAAAGGAAGGGGGTGCTCGCATGACTCCTAAAAGGTCTGAAGGGATATATTCAGAGGACAGATCTCCAAAGGAGACATACAAGGGTTATATGGGCAGATATAGGGGAGTAGAGGTATTAGTATTATGAATGAGGTATTAGGGAACAGTGTGTGTGTGTGTGTGTGTGTGTGTGTGTGTGTGTGTGTGTGTGTGTGTGTTGGGGCAGGGAGGGGTAAGATAGTTGAAAATGGAGGAGAATAAAAAGCTTACTTGGGAGTCTGGATTTCCATCCACATGGAGAGATTAACTAAAAATGGAATATATTGTAGAAACTAGAGGGATATTGTAGGATTCACTTTATCGGTCCCCATGTAAGAGCTGGGGATTGTGGTTGGATTATTCCAAGGATGGGAAGGATAAAGACTCAAGGAAGTGCAGTGAAAGTTTCCATCTTCGGGAGTGTACCGGGGGACTCCCTCAGAACCCCGAGGTCCCTTTGACAGCCAGAGACCTGTCAGTCTACCACCCTTCTCCAGTCTCTGGAGCCTGGAGCTCTGCCTCCCGGACGGTGTCGTATCCAAAATGTTCCCTGAGGGGTTTAATATTCTTCCAGGATGAGGAACCACTGTCCTAAACCTTGGCAAATTTCTTTCCATCCAGAGCATAATTGATTTCCATCCCAATCATGTTCCTGCTATAGCTCAGAACATGCAGTGCACACAACTTAGCATCCTGAACACTCTCATCCCTGAGAGGAGATTTTATTTTATTTATCTACTTTTTATTTTAAATCGATGAACAATGGGAGGACAGTACTACAGTGCAGTGCTGAAGTACTATTTTAATTTTATTGAATCACCGTGAGATAGTTACAAGCTTTCATGTTTGGGTTACGGTCACACAAAGATGAAACACCCATCTCTCCACCAGTGCACATTCCCCACCACCAATCTCCCCAGTATACCCCCCTTTCCCACCCTCCTGTTGCCTCGATGGCAGACAATTTCCCCCATACCCTCTCTCTCTCCTTTTGGGCATTATGGTTTACAATACAGATACTGAGAGGCCATCACGTTTGGTCCTTTATCTACTTTCAGCACACATCTCCCATCCCAACCCATTCCTCCAGCCATCATTTTCTTAGTGATCCCGTCTCTATTCCAGCTGCCCTCTCCGGCAGAGGAGATTTTAGAGCTGCTATAAATGCAGAAAAGAATGCAAAGCTGGGAAAAGAGAGGTCAGTGTTGTGAAGAGACTCTTAGGACGTGCCCTTCAGGTTCACCTGGAATGCAGGAGGCCCCGGAAGGCAAGCGTTGGTTTTCGGACGACCAGAACCATAGTGGACGGGTCGGCCTCTTGCACAGCTTCGGTAGCACTAGGCTAGGCCAAGCAGTGGGGACGGGAAGCTTTGACAGGCCCGTCCTACTCCGCCTGCAGTCTGTGGATTTGCTACCTTACCTCCAGCCTTCCAGCAGGTTCTCAGGACCTGTTCTCTGGGCTGTTGAACTGCTAGTGCATGTAGGATATCTAAGAGAGGCTCGAGCGAATTTTCAAACCAAATTTCATTCTAACCTGTGCCTAAAAAATAGGGATGGCGGACTCTCCTGACTCCAGAGGGGGGTTGTTAAACCCAGGATTTTGGCAGGATGTGTAGGAAACATGGAGAAAAAGAAGGATTGACCGATGTCCAGCTAGCTGAAAGGAATTGTGCCCCTCTGACAGTTGGAGCACTGAGCCAGGAGTTGCCCCTGAGCGCCACCGGGTGTGATCCAAAACTCCATAATCAAAGCTGGCCGCATGATTCCTGGGTGACAGAACATAGCCAGTAACTTGCTCCTGGACACTCGGTGCCATTGGATGTGCTCTGAGCTGTTTTTGTTTCTTCTCACCTGATTCCACCAAAGTGGGAGAGAATGTCCTTCCAGTGAAGCCACGTCAGAGACGCATGTGCAGAGTAGACAGAGAAAAAGTAAATACCTAGTCTTATGCCAAGAGTAACAATGGCCTGCATGCTTTTTTTTTTCTCTTGAGCCCTTCAGTATATTTTTAAATCAGGAATATGGATGAAAATGCACTGTAGCACTGTCCTGTTGTTCATTGATTTGCTTGAGTGGGCACCAGTAACGTATCACAGCAAATTGTGAGACTTGTTGCTACTGTTTTGGGCATATCAGGTACGTCACAGGTAGCTTGCCAGGCTTTGCCCTGTGGGTGAGGTACTCTCAATAGCTTGCCAGGCTCTCCGAGAGGGGCAGAGGAATCGAACCCAGGTTGGCTGTGTGCAAGGCAAACGCCCTACCTGCTGTGCTATTGCTCCAGCCTGGATGAAAATGCAAACAAACAAACAAAAAAGCTTCTTCTTTATCACACTTGCAGAAGATGCAAAACTAGAAACTTGGTTGTGTTTGAATGAATCAAAGACCTTGAAAGATTGAAATATTGAGTCAAAACAAAAACTGTTGTTAATGCGTTTTTCTTACTTTTCTTAGAGAAACCGTAAATGTCAGCCTTGTCATTAAAAAAAAATCAGACATTACATAACGTTCCAAGTGATGAAGTCAGCGTAATTTGTTCTTAGTGGAAATATGCTGGCTTGTTCCCAAAGGAATATTTGTTTAATGTGCATCCGTCCCCCTAATATCCTGATGGCATGAACCCATTGATCAGCGCGTATGCATTTACATCTGGATACAGGCTGTCAGGCTGACTCTGGAGAAAGACTGCACACATTTAAAATTACTTTATCCAGCTAAATCTAGTGCCTCAGGGTTATAAATTAGTTGAAGAAATAAAGCAAGCCAAGAGAAGTATGGTTTATTAGCACTGGGAGCTTTCTTTGCAGAATGAGCGCTGGAGAGATAATACAGGAATTAAGGGATTCACCTTCCGTGCAGCTGACTCCAGTTTGATTCGTCTCCGCCAGACTGGCTCCACTGAGGGGTCCCCTGAGCACGGAGCTAGGAGTTGCCCCTGAGTGTCACCTGCTGTGATCAGAAAATCCATAAACAAAGTCGGCCTGTGATGCCGATGCCTGGGTGACAGAACATAGCCAGGAGTTTGCTCGTGGACATACGGTGTGTCTGATGTTCTCTGGGCTGTCTCTGTTCCTTCTCACGGTTTTTACCCTAGAAGGGGTCCAGTAGACTCTGGTCAGCTGAAAATAGACAAAGGCCTGGAAGCTTTGCATGAAGGCTGCTGTGGAAGGAACCACGTGTGTTTAAGCAGAGGAAGTTGAGATTGATGCTCATAGTCACTTTTGGCTATGCGGAGGTGGCGTGCATAAGAGTGTGGTGAACTGTTGTGTTCAGAAGAGAACGATGTAGCCCGACTGCTAGGATACTGGGAGTTTGGCGTCAGGCTGGAGGCCTTTCTTTCTCACAGTCACAGCTGATCACAAATAGGCTTTGTGTTTGTCCACAAAACAGAAAGCACTTGAGAGGAAGAATGAATTCAAGCAGGCATTTATTAGCTGGCTATCAGATCCAGGGGGAATCTTTTCCACTCCTATCAGCACTTGGCCTGGTGGTGGAGTGCTTTAGGCCCTGGGGGTTCTGATGACCACCAGGGTCATAGCCAACTGTCAGACCCCCAGGCAATGCTCAGGGGCTGGAGTGGGGGTTGAAGGGCGCTGGGGAGGGGCGACAGGCCACCTAAGCTACATCATTGAACCCTTTCTTTTTTTTTTTTTTTTTTTTTTTTTTGCTTTTTGGGTCACACCCAGCCGATGCTCAGGGGTTACTCCTGGCTCTGTACTCAGGAATCACTCCTGGCAGTGCTCGGGGGACCATATGGGATGCTGGGAATCGAACCCAAGTCAGCCACGTGCAAGGCAAATGCCCTACCCGCTGTGCTATTGCTCCAGCCCCAAACCCTTTCATTTTTTAAAATTAATATTCTTTGGGGCCACACTTGGCACGCCTCGGGAGTTACTTGGGTGTGTTGCTTGCTGTCAGTAGTGAAGAGCCAGGAATTGGACCGGCTCACTGACATGTGTGAAGCACGGGCACTAGCCCTTGACTTGTCTCCCCCCACCCCCCCTTCAGAATGGGGCTTGTTTTGCTTTGGACCACGCCTACCTGTGAACGGGACTTACTCCTGGCTCTGTGCTGTGGGGTCGCTCTTGCTGGAACTCAGAGGGACCATGTGTGGTGGATCAGATCCACTCGGATGCAATCAAGGCAGACCCCTTATCCTCTGTGCTCACTCCAGCCCCATACTTCCTTTCTCTGGCTCCTTTCCACTCTGGCATCTTTTAGTGAAATATTTCAAAAATGAAATATTAGGCAATCATATGTGACTAATCAGATTTGGATAATTTAGTATTTGTCACATGTTGTCATCTTTATATATTTTTTCCCAAAAAAACATTACAGGTAAAAGTGAAGAATTGATCTTATTCTTGTCCTTTTCTCCTTCGTACGCAAGATGGCTGTGATGCCTTTTGTCTGTTTTCATATTTTTACCACGTAGGTGTGCATATATGTACAATACGCTATATTATTTTGAGTTGTTTCTCTCCCTTTGCGTTGTTTTTCTGTTTAACATTATTTTCTTGGAGTTGCCTCTGTTAATACATCTAGACCTAGTTCATTACTTTCACCTACCAAAAATGATATGTAATTATTTCTTCATTTTCCTACAAAAGAATTTTAAATGATTTTAAGTTCATTTTTTACTGTTACAGTCAGCCCTACATTGAATATTTTTTAATGTATTAGAAGAGTTTTGCGCATTGAGAGGGAATTGAGCAGGATGGCTTAATATTCCTTCCGTCTCTGAAATTCAAAATTCATTTCCACTCGGTCAGTGATCTCTGGGGATGAAAAGATGAAGATATTCTGTTCAGGGAACCTGCTTTGTAAAGATTCTGTGAACTCTTTATCATCTAATTGCTGACAGTGCCATTTTTTGGCATCTGTAATGCCTGGCTGGCTTAGACAATTGATGACCTTTACAATGACAGTCCCTAGTCTGGGAGAGCTGTAGTTTGTGGGTATCATTTTCCACCTTCAGTCTCAGTGTCAGCCAGCAATTGTCAGGAATCTCACAGGGTTCCAGAGCCTGGAAATCATTTCTTTTGCAGAATGGCTTTGTCCACTTAGGATTTGTGTTCAGGAACTGTTTGTTCTGTTTCTTCCTTTCTGTTGCATGTTGCTCCTTGAAAAAAAAAAAAGTGGGTAAATGCCACACGTGGCATGGTCGTCCTCTGTGTGTGTTTTATGTCTCCGTGATGCATTTCTAGGAAGAAGGCTCAGCTCAAGAAGAAAAGAGGTGTGCCTCAGATCAACGAGCAGATGCTCTTTCACGGGACCAGCAGTGAATTTGTGGAAGCCATCTGCATTCATAACTTCGACTGGAGGATCAATGGCATTCACGGTGCCCTCTTTGGGAAAGGTAGCTGTCAGAGTTTCAAGGCTCAGGGGCGGCTCTAGGAGCGCGGTTAGATAAGACCTCTCCTGAGAGATAATTGATTGTGCTCTCTCTCTCAGCAGTTCAGTCGTCCCTCAGTTCAAAATGGTGTGCTAGGTTTCCAGTGCTTTCTCAGAAAGTCTGAGCCACAAAGGCCCCTTCCTGCATGTCCTAGACCAAAATAAGAACATTTTTTACCTCTGTCAAATTAAAATCATTCCAAAGTTCCACACATTCAGATGCGGTATTCTATCCCTCTTAGCTGGTTTTTTTTTTTAATCTTTATTTCTATGTAAAAATCCTTTCCATAAATAAGCTTATATTCTAGATTGCATTATATGTCCCCACCCCCTAGGGGGGACATGAAAATGAACAGGTCTAGGTTCTAGTGCTTTTTGTTTGGTAGTTTTGAGTTTTTGCAAATGATATTATAAGGTTATTAATGAGCAGAAAGAATTAATGAGGAAATCCCTCATCTTTTTTTTTTGAATGTTATAAAAATCCAGGTTCTTCAGTTCATTCCTACTGCTCTAGCAAATTAAGAAAAGAGGAGAGAGAAAGGTTGGGGACAATCATTTTTAAAAAAAAATTTATTTTATACCTTCCCTTCAGCAAGACAACTGGCTGCCAGGTAGAATAAGGACATGCTTTTCTTTTTTTAAAAGTTTGTTTATTTTGGGGGCTGGAGTGATAGCACAGTGGGTAAGGCGTTTGCCTTGCATGTGACCGACCCGGATTCTATTCCCAGCATCCCATATATATGGTCTCCTGAGCACCTCCAGGAGTAATTCCTGAGTGCATGAACCAGGAGTAACCCCTGTGCATCGCTGGGTGTGACCCAAAAAGCAAAATAAATAAATAAATAAATAGTTACTTTATTTTTAAAATAACTGCTGAAAAGATCCACTCCATTATTTCACTGTAAGGAGACTGGAAAGTATTACATAAATCCCATCAGTATTGAGTATTCAGTTCACTTGCAAAAAAAAAAAAAGATGAGAGTAAGTTTTTCCTTAAAAATGTCAATCTGCTAGGCCTAGTATTCCAGAATAGTCAGCCACTTGATAATATTTTCACAGTCAAGCAAGGAACCAGGGAGATTGTTCTTTTTGAATGAGTAGATATGAATAGCATTGCACTTTCTACCAGAATCTTTTGGGTTGTAAGGTTTTCTTATTGCCATAAATATTGTTGAGTTGTGACCCTATATCACAGAAATGTGGTTTCTTGGGTTTGAGAAATCACCTCTGTAGAGGTGTTTGGTTATTTGTTTGATTGTTGACAGTGCTGTGGGGGAAGCATGCAGTGCCAGGGACCGAACCCAGAGCCCCTTGACTATGTGAGGCATTGGGGTCCTGCAGTGTTCCAGTTCTTTTCAGGGTGCTCTCCAGACTGTGGCTGTGGATGCTGAGTAAAAGGTGGAGGTGGAGAAAGGAGGGGAAGGAAGGGAAGAGAGAGGGAGGGCCAAGCAGTCAAGACTCAGGTCTTGCCATAGTAGATTTCTCTGTAAGATTTCTTGTGAAGAGAGAGTTCTGGTGGTTTTGGTGGGAGCAGAGGAACATGGTGGTAGTAGGGACTGGTCTGTACCAACAAATGTGTCCCTATTGACAGACAGTACCGCAGCTGTTCAGCCCTGATGGGCATTCTGTTTTTCTCCTAAAATTCTACAGGACAGGTGCCAGAGCAATCGTACAGTGGGGTGGGCATTTGCCTTGCACACAGCTGACCTGGGTACAACCCCTAACATCTCATATCATCACCCGAGCACCACTAGGAATAACTCCTGAGTGCAGAACCAGGAGTAACCCCTAAGAATCACCAGAGAGTAACCCAAAAAGCAAATTTTTAAAAAAAATCTTCAGATGAAGAAATTCCACATTCCACATCCATTTCTGTTACAGTATCCCATCTGCCGATTCCTCAAACAATGAGTCTTTTATGTTGTATTAGATATATTCTTCAGAGTAACCTTGGCTTTTTTTTTTTAAGGAACCTATTTTGCCAGAGATGCTGCTTATTCCAGTCGCTTCTGCAAAGATGACATCAAGCACGGAAACACATTCCAAATTCATGGTGTGAGCTTTCAACAGCGGCGCCTACTGAGAGCGTACAAGTCCATGTTTCTTGCCCGAGTGTTAATTGGAGATTACATAAATGGCGACTCCAAGTACATGCGACCCCCTTCCAAAGATGGGAGCTACGTGAATTTATATGACAGCTGTGTGGACGACACTTGGAATCCCAGGATCTTTGTGGTGTTTGATGCCAACCAAATCTATCCTGAGTACTTAATAGACTTCCACTGACTTCACTTCCAAAGCCCAACAGTCAAGGACATTTTCTTCTTCTTCTTCTGGTTTTTTTTTTTTAAACAAGAGGATTTGCTCTCCTGTCATCTAGCCACTAAATGTTATTTCTCTGACACTTTTGAAACCTGTGGAAAAAGTGGCCTCCATATAAAGAGACATAGTGACTTTAAGGTTGATTTTTTTCTTTCTGTTGTTGTTTGGTTTCTGTCCATTACTCCAGGTCATATTTGTTAAAAAAAATCATTGCTATGTTTAACACCAAAGTTCAGAGGTACCTCTTAAAAGTGGGCCAGCTAAGTCTTGATGAACATGGTCCTTCCAAATCCATGGAGTTGCTGTGTCTGTCGCCAGGATAAATGTCTTAGGTTCAAGCAGATATTAGACATATGTTCTAAGATAAATAGGTGTATCCCTTCAAGGAATGTAGCAATTCGTGTGTGTGTGTGTGTGTGTGTGTGTGTGTGTGTGAGAGAGAGAGAGAGAGAGAGAGAGAGAGAGAGAGTTTCATTCTGTTATTATCGTCTGTCAAACAGTATGTTGTGGGAGTTTCAGTGGGAGCATTTGAGAGCCTTGGAGCTTTCCAAGTGCCCAGAGAGAAGTCAGAAATAAGAAAATTGTTTGCAGTGTTACTTAATGAGCACAAGGAGAAAATCATGGTGGAAAACCCTGTGCACAGCTGCCGCCCGAGCAGAGCGGGCAGCCACCTCTCACCGGCCTGGCCCCTCTCTCATCTCCTCGTCTAAGCTGACAGATTTGGTGCTTGTCATCTGCCTGTGGCACACCCGCGGGGCCTCCGAGAATGGCCACACAAGTTACTGCATTTCAAAGTCAACATTTTTCTTTTATTTCTCTTTTTAATTTTTTGTAAGCATGGATTTGTCTTGTGTTTCGCAGTTCCCACAATGATGACTTCAAAAATTGTATCTATTCTCTCACCGCCCCCCCACCCCTCCCACACTCAGACACACACACACACACACACACACACACACACACACACACACACACCACTATCCAAACAGGATTGATGGGATTCACATTTCTTAGGTGGTTGCTCTCCATTTTGGATCACTGTAAAATGCATGGGCTACTTGTCTGAAGTAAGTCCGATTTGTTCTTTGAAATCCGGATTGTCAGTCTGCTTGAAAATTGATGTGATTTATAGCCCTGTTGAATGAAATTTGTTTACCTGTTTCATCTGTTTTTGCTACTATTCTGTTCTGAGAACTAAGTAATACTGGAACAACTTTGTGCCCTAAAGTGAGTTGAGCAAAAACTGGGCATTAACTTTGGCAAAGATACTGGAGTGCGGAAATCAGATGAGCGATTTCACTGTAGGAATGTCAAGAGATTTTACAATCTTAATTTCCTGAGATTTTGACTGATTCAAACCAAGCACTTGGAGTGAGTCTTTCCCAGCCAACTTTTTATCTTAAAAAGTAAACTCTTTTTCTAATTGGGTCTAATACCGAATTCTCTCTTTATTCTCTCAAGTTCTGGTGAGAGGTCAGGAGGATAATATTTTAAAGAAAAGCTGTTAAGTGCCCAGCCTTGGGTTGTCCATTTTAATCGTTTTTAATTGGGAAGGCATCTAGAAATAACAAAAATTAAGAATGAAGATTCTTTAACTGACATGGACCCCTGGATTTTTTTTTTTAAATTATAGTCCAGACCACATGTAATTATACATTCAACAGTAAGAAACCCGTAAGCAAGTATACGGACAATAGTTGAAACCAAGCCAAGCAGCAACGAAGATTTCCTGACTCAAGTGCTGCAAATAATTTAGAAGGAGAATGTTTTAGAAATGTGGAGATTGTCAAGAAAGAATAATGGGACGAAAAGCCATCAGGTTTTCTTACGAGAGAAAGTGCACTGTCCCCACAGTGTTGGAGATGGTGGAATTTCAGATCCCAAAAATCTTTTTTTGTCTAATATTTACACAACTCCCACCACCACCATCATGACATGGTGAAAGACAGGCCTCACTTCAGCATCACTCTTGCTCTCCAATTTCACATGATCGCTTCTACCATCATCAGTGGAATCACCATTGTGACCTTTGAGGATTGCGTTTCTCTTGGACACGTGTGGATCCTATCTCGAAGTGACTCAGAGCCCAGGGTGGAGATGTGGAAGACAACTGGTGCAAACTCTGAATTTCCATAATACACAGGAGCACATTGCCGGACACGTCATCAGGAAGAGCAGTATTTATGATTCTTGTTGGCCAACGTCCTGCCAACTCCCCTTTTATAGGAGAAAGCAGATCTTCGTAACATGTCTTAACTGTGATTGTGTAGCATTCATTGATGTCAAAATTCTGATTTGGGGTTTAGATCAAGAGACGGAATTGGGACTCATAATCGGGACATAATTACACTGGAAAACCACGTGTCATCACAGGGAATCATCGGCAGAGAGAGTGAAGAGAAGTCACATCAGATTAGTGAATAAATTATTTGAATTATTCCAGACTGAATCAAATCTAGCTGATAGTGACTTTTCTTTTCCATTTTGGTGATAGCAGCCTCAGGGGTTTAAAAAAAAACAACAGATGTGTTTATAAGAAACCATTTCATAAATCTTGTGGTTCTGAACAGGAAGTTTTTGTATTCATGCAGCATTTCATTTCTAGACATTGTTACAGGGGATGATAATGAATTTGGTGCCATTTTTGATATATGACTATATTGTTTTTACATGTGGTGATTAAAGCTTTCCATGTCAGGTCTTGGTTGTCAGCGTTTGCTGTGTATGTGTTGGTATGGTTTCTGTCTCATTTTTACCTGGCATTATTTAAACCTATTTGCAGCCCAGACATCCCGAACTCCCGAGGAGTTGGTTGTCTGGACCTTATTACATGGGGGTCGTCTTCTGCTCTCAGTGTGCAGTATCATGAGTAAAGTCTAATGACAGAACCTGTGGGGAATCATTTATTCTGTGCTGCTGCAGATTCCAAAACAGTTCCAAGAAGGGTGCCTATAGTGTCCCTTGCTCTGGGTACCTCTACCCTTGGCTCGAAGGGACAGTTCTGAAGCGGGAGTGTGTCTGCACAGCCCAGGGAACTGTGTTTTCTGCAATGCCTCCACACTCCAGCCACTTCCCATACATCTACGGTCATTCCTTTCTGAAGCACTTTAGACATTGGTTTTATCTTTCAACCTACCCCCCGCCACGCCCCCCACCCAAAATACACACCAAAAAAAAAAAAAAAAGACATGTAAGTTTTAGAGCATAGAGAAATGTGGGACAGAAGGGCCATAGCTTCCCTTAGTCTACAGTTTTCCATAAAATCCCACCCCCTTATATTATCAAGACTCATCATGATGAAAATTTCAGCCGAACGTTGTGATGTTTTGATAAACTGTTATTCTGGCATGGAGGTATTTGAGGGGACCGCCTAGGTTGCCAGGAACAGCACTGGGAGCAATCTTAGAGGGGTCCCTGTGGTGTGCTCATGCCTCCCCTGGGAAATAAACAGTCATCTTTCTTTGAGGAAGACTGTTCTATTTTTCAGGAAGCATGTTATTTTGTTTAAAGAGGCATCACATGTCTAGATGGAAGTCTGTTTTGCAAATCCAGAAATGCGTCATTGAGGTGATCTCATCATGATGGGAGTGCAGAAGACGGTGGCTTGTGTCCATTTGGGGGCCCCAATAAACAGATGCAGATTAAACGAAGCTTTGGGGGAAGCAATGCTCTTAAGAGGAAGTCCATGGGGCTAGTGTTGAGGCGGCCTCCAGCACCCACCCCACTGCCAATTTACACTGCACATCTGCGTGCGTGGGTGAGGACAATTGGAGGGTGGGGCACTGCCATGCGTGCTTTCTTCATAGACCCAGATGCCATTATGTGGTGCGTGCTAGTGCAACAGAAAAGTGGAAGGTTATGGGAGAAGATATCAAGGAGGGGGCAGATGAAAGACTTGTTGAGGACTGGAGCGATAGCACAACGGGGAGGGCATTTGCCTTGCACGTGGCCAACCTGGGTTCAATTCCCAGCATCCCATATGGTCCCCTGGGCACCGCCAGGAGTGATTCCTGAGTGCGTGAACCAGGAGTAACCCCTGAGCATCACCGGTTGTGACCCAAAAAGGAAAAAAAAAAAAAAGACTTGTTGAAAGTAAGTTGGGGTTAGAATTGTCATCAAAATCATTTTACTTCTACCTCTGAGTGGTATGATGCTAGAAGGGATTTGGAGGACCAGGTTGCCCTGCCTCTGGGTGAGAATTTAGGGCTGGAGCAGGAGTGGGGGGAGCAGCAGTGGGAGGAGTGAGCGTTTCAGGGGCCCGTGAAGCCCACAGTTAGATAGATGGCGTGGTTCTTGCTCACAGCCAGCCAGCAGACTCCCTGCTCGAACGGCTGTGAGTCTGTGCGGGAGAGGCAGACCTTCCATTTCCTCGGCTAATTGCTCGCCTTCGAATTACTGCTGCAGGCTCAGGTTGGACTTTCTGTAGCTCCGAATTTAGCTTTGGTCTCGCTCCCTTTTAAGTGACTTGTCATAGATTGCACCCCGGGGTTAGGCCAAAGACGCCTTTCTGCAGCTTTTAAAGCTTTGCTCTACCCTTGATAAGAGGCTGCCGGGCTCGCTTTGCCATGTCCCAGGAGACCCACAGTCCAGAATCGAACTCAATTTTTACTGTGATATATTCATTCTGCATCCATACTGGACTTCGCTTGTGTGTTTGTACCCTTTCCCAAGGGACTCCTTGGGCTTTGGTGTTTCCCAGAAAATGCGTGGCAACTGCATGTGTTTGAAATCCCTGTTGGATGAACCTTCTGAGGGAATGGGGTGCTGAAGCCCATTTCCTTCTCTTCACTCCTTTAAGGACATCAAACAGTGCCATGGGAGCCCAGGATCTGACTGCCTTTAATCAGGGCAGATAACTCACAAGAGAGGGAAAGTGGTGTCCTTTGCAGAAGCTGCTGCTTACGAAGAACTGATTGGGAGAGCAAACTAGGTGACCTCCGAGCCTTCGAGGGATGCATTTTAAATTTGGGTTAAGAAAAGACATGCACAGAGACGTGAGTACTATCCTGGCACGGCAAAAACAATTAAAAAGGAGTTGGGTAGGAGTGATAGCACAGCGCTAGGGCGTTTGCCTTGCACACAGCCAGCCCGGCCGAGCCGGGTTCGATTCCTCTGCCCCTCTCGGAGAGCCTGGCAAGCTATTCAATATGCCAAACACAGTAACAAGAAGTCTCACGATGGAGACGTTACTGGGCCCAC